ACTCATGTGAAAATGAATGAATTCAAAGCTTTTATCAGTGCAGTCAATTAACCCTCACTCTCTCTCTCTCTCTCTCTCTCTCTCTCTCTCTCTCTCTCTCTCTTTAACTCACTTACTAGCTCACTCATTCATTCACTCGCTCGCCCACTCTGAACAGTGTCTCTGTGCTTTCTTCTTCTGCTCTGCTTCATTTTCTTTTCTTTCTTTCTTTTCTCTTTCACTCCTAAAACTCTCTCTCTCACGCTCTGCCGCCCAGTCCACCCTGGAACTGTGATTGACCCTGAGATTAACCTCTGACCTCGTCCACGCCTCCTAAAATCACTATTATTTCTCTCTTTCTCACTCTCTCGCTTTCTGTCAACTGTGACCTCTGTGTGTGTGTGTGTGTGTGTGTGTGTGTGTGTGTGTGTGTGTGAGGACCGGATGTCCTCATGATGATGGGACAACATGAGAGCTTTGCCAAGTAAAGACCTTTTGCTCTCCTTTCAAGAAAATGTGCTGTTTTCAACTTTTGGAAGAACTGAAAGAGCAGAAAGTTTAAGATTAGGTTTAGGTGTAGGTTACTGAGGTTAGGTTTAGGTGTAGGTTACTGAGGTTAGGTTTAGGTGTAGGTTACTGAGATTAGGTTTAGGTGTAGGTTACTGAGGTTTGGTTTAGGTGTAGGTTACTGAGGTTAGGTTTAGGTGTAGGTTACTGAGGTTTGGTTTAGGTGTAGGTTACTGAGGTTAGGTTTAGGTGTAGGTTATTGAGGTTAGGTTTAGGTGTAGGTTACTGAGGTTAGGTTTAGGTGTAAGTTATTGAGGTTAGGTTTAGGTGTAAGTTATTGAGGTTAGGTTTAGGTGTAGGTTACTGAGGTTAGGTTTAGGTGTAGGTTACTGAGGTTAGGTTTAGGTGTAAGTTATTGAGGTTAGGTTTAGGTGTTGGTTACTGAGGTTAGGTTTAGGTGTAGGTTACTGAGGTTAGGTTTAGGTGTAGGTTACTGAGGTTTGGTTTAGGTGTAGGTTACTGAGGTTAGGTTTAGGTGTAGGTTATTGAGGTTAGGTTTAGGTGTAGGTTACTGAGGTTAGGTTTAGGTGTAAGTTATTGAGGTTAGGTTTAGGTGTAGGTTACTGAGGTTAGGTTTAGGTGTAGGTTACTGAGGTTTGGTTTAGGTGTAGGTTACTGAGGTTTGGTTTAGGTGTAGGTTACTTAGGTTAGGTTTAGGTGTAAGTTATTGAGGTTAGGTTTAGGTGTAGGTTACTGAGGTTAGGTTTAGGTGTAGGTTATTGAGATTAGGTTTAGGTGTAGGTTACTGAGGTTAGGTTTAGGTGTAGGTTATTGAGGTTAGGTTTAGGTGTAGGTTACTGAGGTTAGGTTTAGGTGTAAGTTATTGAGATTAGGTTTAGGTGTAGGTTATTGAGATTAGGTTTAGGTGTAGGTTACTGAGATTAGGTTTAGGTGTAGGTTACTGAGGTTAGGTTTAGGTGTAGGTTACTGAGGTTAGGTTTAGGTGTTGGTTACTGAGGTTAGGTTTAGGTGTAGGTTACTGAGGTTTGGTTTAGGTGTAGGTTACTGAGGTTAGGTTTAGGTGTAGGTTATTGAGGTTAGGTTTAGGTGTAGGTTATTGAGGTTAGGTTTAGGTGTAGGTTACTGAGGTTAGGTTTAGGTGTAGGTTATTGAGGTTAGGTTTAGGTGTAGGTTATTGAGGTTAGGTTTAGGTGTAGGTTATTGAGGTTAGGTTTAGGTGTAGGTTACTGAGGTTAGGTTTAGGTGTAGGTTACTGAGGTTAGGTTTAGGTGTAGGTTACTGAGGTTTGGTTCAAGTGTAGGTTACTGAGGTTAAGATTAGGTTTAGGTCTAGGTTATTGAGGTTAGGTTTAGATATAAGATACTGAAGTTAGGCTTAGGCTTAGGTGCAGGTTAGGAGTTTAGGGTTAGATTCCGGTCTAAGAGTAGCTTTACTTGGTTACAGCAATACAGACGTCAATGAATGTCCTCATAAATATAGCAACACCAACAAGGGTGTGTGTGTCTCATTTCCTCTGTAAAAGCCTGTTTTAAGACTCCCATCAATGAAGGATTCTTTTAGTAGCTGATCAATATACTCTTCTTTCATCACCCCCCCCTCTCTCTCTCTCTCATTCATTCCAGCATCTCTCATGCCAGTTTTTAATCTGATCTGCTTCTCTCTGCAGTGATGTCTGTTTCTTTCTGTAGCGCAGATTCATAATATTAAAATAATAATAAACAATATAAACTGTAGTGACAGTAATTTATACAGTGCTGTTCATTTTAGTCACAGTGTTAAAGTGCTTTATTCACTATGGCCTCGTTTTCAAAGTCCCTCTCTCTCTCTTTTTGTCTCTCCCCCCTCCCTTTCTCTCTCTCTGTCTGTTTTCTCTCTCTTTTTTGTCCCTCTCTTTCTCTCTTTTCTCTCCCCACCTTTCTCTCTTATCTCTCTCTCTCTCTCTCTGTGTGTGTCTCTGTTGCCTCTTTCCTTCTGTCTCTCTCACCTCTCTCTCTCTTTTTCTCTTCTCTGTCCCCCTTTCTCTCTTATCTCTTTCTCTCTGTCTCCGTTCTGTCTTTCTCTCTTTCTGCCCCCCCTCTTTCTCTCTTCTCTCTCTCCACCTTTCTTTCTTACCTCTTTACTTTCTGTCTCTGCTGTCTCTCTCTGTCTCTCCCTCCCCCTCTCTGTCTTTTTCTGTTCTTTCTCCCACTTTCTCTCTTATCTTTCTGTCTCTGTTTTCTCTCTCTCTTTCTGTCTCTCTCCCCCTCTCTTCTCTCCTCTCTCACCCTTTCTCTCTTATCGCTCACTCTCTGTCTTCGGTCTGTCTCTCTCTCTCTTTCTGTCCCTTTCCCCCCTTTCTTTCTCTCTTCTCTCTCCCCACCTTTCTTCCTGAACTCTTTCTCTCTGTCTCTGTCTCTCTCCCCCTCTCTTTCTCTCTTCCCCACCCCTTTCTCTCTTATCTCTGTCTGTCTCTGTCTCTGTTCTGTCTCTCTCTCTCTCTCTTCCTTTCTATCTCTCACTTTCTCTTCTCTTTCTTTCTCTCCTTTCTCCTCTCTCTCTTTCTCTCTCTGTCTCCATTCTCTTTGTTTCCTTATTTCTCTCTCTCTCTCTCTCTATCTCTCTCTCTCTCTCTCTCTCTCTCTCTCTCTCTCGTTAATTCCTCTGTCTCTGATGTCATGCTTGGTCTGATCTGTGTCTCTGCAGTGTTTGGTTTATGTTTTATAATAACAGACGGTTCTTACATGTTTAAATGAATGAATAAACTAATGATAACAGTGACTAATATTTAATAAGTCTTTATTGATAGAGCACTTTTTCATCTCAGCATTGAAATCTCAAAGTGCTTTATTAATCAGGTTTGAAGTAAGAAAGCTGTGTTTTGGACAAATGTTTTTGTTTCTGACTGTGTGTGTGTGTGTGTGTGTGTGTGTGTGTGTGTGTGTGTTTGTGTTTGTGTGTGTTTGTGTGTGTGTGTGTGTGTGTGATGTGTGAGTGCACTCTTGGCTAGCGCTCCTCGGTGTCCCCTGGCAGCAGTGGGGTCGTTTCCGTGGAGAAACGTCTCTGTAGTGAGGGCTGTTGTCGTGGTTTCCGCTGTGTGTGAATCAGATGTGCGTTACAGAAAGTTTGAGAGAGACACAGAGAGAGAGAGAGAGAGGGTGAGAGAGATAGAGAGAGAGACAGACTATAAACATCAACATTATTAACTGTGTCCATGGACCCAGGGAGCTGTGTGTGTGTGTGTGTGTGATGTGTGTGTGTGTGTGTGTGTGTGTGTGTGTGTGATGTGTGTGTGTGTGTGTGTGTGTGTGTGTGTGATGTGTGTGTGTGTGGTGTGTGTGTGTGTGATGTGTGTGTGTGTGGTGTGTGTGTGTGATGTGTGTGTGTGTGTGTGTGGTGTGTGTGTGTGTGATGTGTGTGTGTGTGTGATGTGTGTGTGTGTGTGTGTATATGTGTGTGATGTGTGTGTGTGTGTGGTGTGTGTGATGTGTGTGTGTGTGTGTGTGTGTGTGTGTGATGTTTTAAACTTTTTTTACAGCGTCCTCAAAGCAGTAATTGAACACTCTTTAACCATTTAAAGGGCCTGTCCTTCATTTTTCTTCTGTTTTTTTTGTCCCTGAGATCATTTAATGGCATTTAGGTGGCTTTATGCATTAAAAACAGTCATAATTCACTTTTACACAAACTTCTCTTTAGAATGCAACAGGCTGTTTTTGTTACTGTTCCTCTAAGACTATGTAAATTGGCTCTGTTCTGATTGGCTGCGCTTCATTCAGAAAGCAGTCCTGGCTGAAGCACTCTACCCATTGGATCCTTGCCATGGAAAAGCCACATATGAAGGAGGCTTCGAAATGGAACGGCTTAGTCGCGCCGCGTGATGCAATGCAGCCTCCGAAGGACGCAGCCCCTGAATTGGGACTCAGCTTTAAATGTAAAATATGTGGCTTTTTCATGACATCACAAAAACAATGGCCTGTTTCTGCAGCTTAGTTTCCATAAATGGACCATATGGACTGAGGAGAGAATGGTGTTTTGAAACTTATGTAATAAGTGATGTCTGATTCATGAAAGAATCATGCTTCTGAACTGATTCTTTTCAGTGATTCGGTGGAGCTGATTCGAAAGTCCGGCTGAACTGAACTGCACTTTAAAAGTTGGTGTGGTTCTCAGCCACTTTCAGTGGAACCGTTTTCATGTTTCCCCTCAAAAACTGCCAGTGCTTGGAAAACCAGCATACCAGGATCCCAAACACACCATATGCCTGTTTTGCTGGTGAGCAGTTATGCTGGTCTGCGCTGGTTTTTCTATCAGGGATGGCTAATCTTGTTTTTTTGGTTATAGTTATTTTCACCGATCCATTGTTTTATCACTGTGAACAGCAAAGAGCAGAGACAGAGGAGCTGTGTGTAAATCAGAGGCAGATAAGAGTCGATATCATCAGTGATCGCCCCAAACAGTAATCATGTTAATTAACTCGTCAATTTGTTTATGTCTAACGTATCTGTGCTTCTCTCTAGGTGAGAATGTGGAGGGATTGTCTGAAGAGGATGTTGTCCTCTTGCACTCATGCAGGCAGTGGACCACAGTCACTGCCCACTCTCTGGAGGAGGGGCATTACGTCATCGGACCCAAGATTGACATCCCACTGCAGTACCAGGGTAAGATATTCCAGAATATAGCTCTGGTATCTCCAGGCCTGCAGCAGAGAATATTCCCAACAGCCATCTTTCTGGAATTTCATGGTGCTTTCATAAAGATCATAATGCCTTCTAATTTTAATGTAATATGCATATAAATAAATCAGCCTACTTATTCTATAGAACAAAAAACAGACTATTACTAATGTCAGTGTATAAATCTGTCACACGGAACATTGTTGCTGCTGCAGTTTGCAAGAGAGAAACACTAAGAGTAAGAACTGCAAAGGCCCTAGAACAGAGCCTTGGGGAACTCCACAATGATCATTCTGAATAAAAAAGTATTGTACATAAAATGATATAGTTGCGTAGCTTCTTTCTTGGTGTTGCTAGCCAGCTATGAGGTTCTGTCATCTGTTAGCTGAAGTTAGCTTTTGTAAACATCCAGGAACAGCTAACTAACTGACTAAATAGCTAGCAAACCCGTGGGATTCACTTTTTAATATTGTTCCTTTCCCATGAAAGATTTCTCAAACAAGAAATACTGACCAGTGGGAAAGGCCAGGCCTGCTTCACCTCACTTTTTCTGACCTGACTCATGGAAACTCACATTGGTGTTTCTCTCTCAGTTTAGCTTCTTTTTACACAACAACACAAAATGTGTCATGTTAAATCATTCATGCTTTTAAATCAAAAGTTGTCAATACTTGGATGCTTAGGACAGCCAAACGATACACACACATATATATATATATATATATATATATATATATATATATAGTATAAAATATATATATATAGTATAAAGCAGAAAGCACACGTGGAGAAGGGAGGGGACGAGAGTGAGAGAAAGAGTGTGGATGTTAGAGGAGATGGCAGTGATGTGGTGTTGGATGTTAACAATGTATTGATTGTTGTATTAGAGCACTTAACATCACACATGTTCACCCGGGCCCAGTCTGCTACATGCAGTGACCTGACCGTTGTGTCGGTCTCTGGTGGATTGCCTCAGCGGTCCTAGTTAGTCACATTATATAACAAGAATATTCCTTCTTCCTGTTAGCGTCCTCCTGAAACAACACACATACACAGAAAGGGGAGAAGCGGTGATGGAAAAAGAGCTCACAGCCAAGGCGTCACTGCAGAGCCTTACAGATGCCCTTTGTGTGTATGAGTACACTTCCCATTAAAAACTCTTTGAAACTTGAATTTTCTCACAGTTGCTTTTCAGTTAAGAGAAAACTCCCTACAAAGGTTTAATTAGCATACAGCAGCTATACGGCGGTTTGTTTAGCTTTAGCACTCAGATTCATATTCATCCATTTCTCCACAAATCAAGAACTGACCCAAATGGGAACGATTTACATGTATGATACTGTTTTCCTGTAAATAAACCTGGTCAGGATTATTAGGCTAAGCTATTATAAACAGGCAAACATGCTGGACGTGAAAAGCTGCCCTTTAGGTGGGCAGTTTGAGCGCGAGCCGCTTTGTTTGTGTGCGTGTAGTGTCTCGGTCAGTGGGCTCGTCCGGCGGCTGTTGTCTCATTCATAAAGTCGGCTTCAGCATGACTTCATCCTGACGTCATTCCCGAGGGATCGGAGGAGAAACCCATTCTAAAAATCCGCTCTCCGGAATACCGGACGCGAAGCACTCCGGAGTTCCTCCCCTGGGAACGCCGTTACCCAATATACCCGTCTCCTACAACATGAGGTCATGTGACCAATGAGATCACCTACAAGGGTTTCCGGCGGCAACGAGACGCCAGGGATGAAGCAAGTGAGACTGAATGAGGGAGATGAGATCATCTGTGTGTTCCTTGGACTGGGAGACTGACGGGGCTTTAGACTGATGATGATGATGATGATGATGATGATGGTGTTGTGGGAATGATGAGGCTGACAGCATCATAATAGTACATGATAAAAGTGATTATAGTGGCTGTAAATAGGATTTTTTAAGGATGGGTTTGATTATGATGGAAGAAGCAAATGAAGAAGAAAGTGATGATGATGCTGCTGATGATTATAATGACTGGCACTCAGTGAATATGTTTTGATGGAAAAGTGTTTGACTTATAAAACCGGAGGTGAACTAGATTTACATCTTTGGAGCTGCAAGAAAGTCAAAATTGTTAAGAAACACAATAATAACGTTTTTAAATGCTGTGTTTATTGTGTCCGTTGTGCAGGACTGTTTGATATGAAGAAAGCAGCAGTTGTGCTTTTTACCTCCGTCTTTGTGGAGAGGTGTGAATTGTTTTTCACAGCAGGGGTTTTCATACCCCTCCCCTTTAACTCCTCATTGCTCACTAGCAGCTCAACATCTCACACACAGAGACACAGCAGAGTTATTTTATTTGATTATATTAAATAAAAATATCCAAGTCGATTTCCATTCTGACAGTGGAACGACCACTAGGGGGCCTACAGAAAGAGGTTAGTCATAATTACGTAAAATAACAGTTATGTAATGAATTACATTTACATTAAGACCCAATCCCGTCTCTTTTTTATACCCCTACCCCTTGTTTTTGAGTGTCACCTTGACCCTGAGTTACAAAGGTTAGTCTTCCTCTATGAAATGGGACCCTCAAATAAAAAGAGCATCACTTCATTAACAGCTACCAGCGCTGCTCTGTAGGCGACCCTGCCAGTCTGCAGTGACAGCAGAGGAGGGTAAAGTTCAGCTCCTCACTGCTGGGCTTTAGTTACATTTAGGGACTCATATGCCTTCAAAGAGGGGGGCAATTATTTATTATCGCCCACCCCTAATTCTTCAGTGATATGAAGCTGAAGTCAAATATTCGTCAGTTTCTTGTTCAATTTTCCCGTTCCACCTTAAATGGAGCAGCAGTTACATTCTGGCGCTTCAGGCGTCAGAACTGCTGGACTATTTAAGGTGGAACGGGAAATTTAGCTAGCTAGCTACCGAGATGTTAGCATGCTATTAACAATTTTTTATGCTTGTTATGAAGAAAGCAACCAAAATACACTGAAATGACATTAAATTAAGATTTATTAAGACAATAGAATGATTATTATAACTTTTTAATGGAGTAAATAATCACATCTGTGGGTTTCTTTGGTCTTTTGTTCTCCGTCTTGCCTGTTTTTCTTTTTTCCTCATAACTCTCTGTTTGGAGTCTCTGAAAAACTCTGTTTGGAGGGTCATGTAGCCCCAACACTTCACCCTACACCTCTATCTCAACAAGAATCAGGACACCCTACCCTTAGACTTGAATGCACAAAACTGAGGGCTAAGTGGTAGGGGCGAGGGGTTAAATGGGATGGGGCCTTAGTTTACATTCTTTTCCATTTGTTCCACTGTTAAACAATAGCAAGGTGTCCATCAAACTGGTAAGTGAATTTTGACATATTGAGTAAATAAGACTTGATTGAAACAGGAGGTACTGAACAAACTTTGCATAAAAATGTGCCCCCTCACTTGAGATGGATCATTTTTTGGCTGATAAAAAGTACAAAAAAGAACAAGTGGACAAGCATTTGGCAAATAAACATAATAATAATGTAAAATACACAAAATAAAATAGAATAAAGTCATGTGACTGCTTGCACGTTCCCGTTTTTACTTGGCCATAGCTATGAAACAGCAGGTGCCAGTTACCTAATCAGGTAAAAAAAAAGGGTCGGTGGTTGACAAATCAATTCAAATTATACTTTCATGATATTGAGACTCTTACTATGTTGAGGCTGTAGCTTTAGGTTGTGATTTAAGGGAAATCTGGGAAATGTATTCTTTGTGTTTACATTTTAAGCTGGTGCTGAGATTTTATTTGTTTTGAGTCAGTGGTGAGACACACCAGCTTAAAGGGAAACTCCACCGATTTTTCAAAAATTGTGCATAATTACGTGGTTAAGATGTAAACAGAGTCATTCAGAGTGGTTTGGTGTGAAACGCTCCGTTCTAGAGAAACTTACAGAGTCAGAATTGTTCACAGTGGTGGTGATAGGAACCAGACGTCCACCTCTAAAAGCTCCCTCACAGAAAGTCACTACAGTGTATGCTTACAAATACACTGCCTGATGTCTGAGACACTGTTTCATCATAGTTTTGAGGTAAGGATTTGGCCTAAAAAGTATATTTAAAAGCCATTCATGTGAGGCAAAATAGTCACTAAAGAAAATGTATCTTTCTAGATTTAATACTATTTTACCATCATCAACATTAAAAATGGTGAGGAAAGACTCGTGTAGGTTCACTGGTGGTTTAGAATAGTAAATAAAATGTCTATATTTGTGTTGTAGTCATGGTGATGCCTGGTTCCTATCACCACCACTGTAAAGACATCTGAGTCTCTACAATCAACCAAACCACTCTGAATGACTCTGTTTACATCTCAAACACTGAATTTTGCTGACAAAAATGGGTGGAATTCCCCTTTACAGAGGCCTGGTCCAGTGTAGCTGTACTTCCAGTGACAGAAGTGATGAATTTATATGGTCGTGTCTGTGTCCTGTAGTTTAGCCCAACACTCAGTGTTAAAGCAGATTTCTTTACGTAATTACTTTATAAATTACGTGTTTTCTCCTGTGATTTTCGTGGGGTGCGGTGACATTTCAGTGGGGCTCAGTACGCTGGGTCCAGTGACGCCCCTGCTGTAGGTGTTGAGGTCTGCTACATTACACTCTGAGCGGAGAGGAGAATGAGAGAATGACAAGAGGAGAGTAACTCAATACACGCCTCCCTGGAGACGAGCAGTTCCGTCTGCTTTCTCTCTCTCAGTCTCTCTCTCTCTCTCTCTCTCTCTCTCTCTCTCTCTCTCTCTCTCTCTCTCTCTTTTCTCTCCCAGTCCGTCTGATGAGAGTCACTGGGCGGCCGCTTTAAAGGGCCCGGATCATGGAATAATAAAGTTCCCTCACCTTTTTTGTAAAATAAAAGTTTGATGTAGCCCATAAACATCGAGTTCATTTACAATAATTCAATCATAATCTGATTTCTGCGGTTATCTGATTATTCAAATGGTCGTGTAAACAGCACACTCTGATTTCTTAGATCAGAGTAAGTAATCAGATTTCTGCTGTACACCCAGCCAATAAACTCACAGAAGAAGACATGACGTAAACGTAATGTCAAACTTCATGCCACTAAAAACATCACGCCACTTTGCCTGAAAATATGAGCACACATCATCTAGAAGATGAAGAATAATTAAACCCTTCATTTCATTGTCAGTTTCAGTTTCAGCGTTGCTCCAAAAGTGCTCGCTTATTTCCGGTGCCGCCGTCTGTTTTCGCACATGCTCAGACTGAGAAATCTGAAAGAAATCAGAGTAAGAGTTCACTGAGAAATCTGATTACTGAGCTAAAATCCAGCCTCTTTATTGGATTTCTTAGTCGGATTTCTAGATCGGAGTATGGTGTTTACATGACCATTTGAATAATCGGATAACTGCAGAAATCTGATTATGATCGGATTATTGAGTGCATGTAAACTCACTCAATGTTTTACAAAACAGCGCTAAATTGAGTTAAAGAGGCTCACTTTTTAATGAAACCTGTGATTAGTCAGCGTTCTTTAAGTACTGATAATATCCACGATATGCTCAGAAAAGCGTATTGTGACACAGTTTATCACGATAATGATTAAATATCGTCAGATTGCCCAGCCCTAATATAAATCCTTTAAAAGTTTACTTGAGTGCATGTAACTCGTTAGTGGGTCTGCGAGGGGGGCTAATCTGTCCTTATAGAAACAGCTTTTCTAATAAAGGGACGCTGAGACAGAAAGACTGGGGGGGAAATGGAGCGAGACTGAGACACAAAGCCAGGAGAGAAAAAGAATCAGAGAATTTGAATGGAGGGAGGAAGAAGGGATTCCGGCTGGTTTAAGCCCCTGAACACTGCTGCCACCCACACACAGGGAAGCTCTGCAGAGGCTGACGATGGTCAGACGCATTCCTGCTGGTTTTTTAATCAATTTTTATTTTTCTACATCATTTGAGCAAACCAGCTGCTCTTTACGCTGTGTTCAGATTTCATGATGGTTGGACCAATAGAAATGCTCCAAAATGGCTTGGAGTGAAATCTCTTTATATTGATTTACATTATTAGAAAAGAGTGATTTTGCCCTTTTCTGTAAAATTCGGATTTTGGAGATGCTTGTTTTTTTGGACGGTGATGATACAGTGAGAATTATGAAAATGTTAATATTAGTCCTGCACTGACCAGTGTGTCGGCCTCCGAGAGCCACTAGGTGTGTTCAGAAAGCAATTACGTCAATCAGTGGAGCAAAACAGGGTTGGAATTGTGGCAGAGATCCTGAGGGTCCCCTGGTGGGCAGTTTAACTCTATATACTGAAGTTCACCCCTGTAGTTTTCACACGTAATATCAGACATTATGCTTAATCATATGCCTGTCATCAAAACAATGTTCATAACTCCACTCTGTGTTTTGTTGTAGTGCAGTAGTTTTAACTCTTACATGCAGCAAACCATGAATATGAATATAAGCAACACGACTGCATGTCAGTATACTTTATACAGCTGGCTGAAATTTTGAAATGCTTCTCTATAGTGTTGTGTCTTGGCTGTCGAAGCAAAAATCTACAGTGAACTGTTTTCAGTGGATTGGATCTGTTTGTTTATTTTAACTAAATTTTTCCATGTTTTTTTTTTTTTCATTTGTTTTCTCAAGATGCCATATCATTTATGTCATTGTCTCGGCATAACAAATGTTGTTTTCCCGAGATCTCAAGAAGTTTATGCCATTATCGCTCATTATCACTGAAAAACAGTTACAAAAACATGCAAATCCATGATACATAGATTTTGAGTAGTACAGAACAGATATATTATTCAAAACCCACTAAAATTGTCTATTTACCCCAAAACACAATTGTTAAAAAAATCACAATTATTGATAATATTGAACCCCCATCCCCTATTCTATTCTATTCTATTCTATTCTATTCTATTCTATTCTATTCTATTTCAATATGCTTTTTTAAATATTAACTGTTTTAATGAAAATCGCTAACAAACCTCACATATTAAATATGATACTGAGTAATCTTTTGAGAACTATTTCATCTGTCATTATAATAAACCTTACTGCAAACAGGTGCATTCATGAGCTTCTTCTGCTGCAGAATTGTGGCTAATAGCGCTCTCTGCTAATAATCAGATAACTGCAGAAGTCCAATTATGATTGGATTATTAATCCAATGATTTCCAAAGCCATGCCCACACGCTTTCCGCATTAAAAACAAGCCGCTTCCATCGTTACAGTAGCATTTTCATAATTCAGCTAACAACCAGGACACTTAACACTGCACACTGGTTGTGGATGAGGGTCAGAGGAACTTTTTCTCCAGGTTAGAGCCAACTTAGCTGCTCTACGCTAGCTGGCAGTCATTTTAGCTCGTTTTCACTGCAGCGAGTCACTTTGAGGCGCATTTATTGTCAATTTCATTCTACATTTAGAGGAATCTGTGTAGTAAAGCCAGCATTTCAGTGCATAGCTGAGACAAATAACACAGGCAGTTTCCTAACAAACCCCTCTCTCTCTGTGAAACTGAATACTGGTGCGTGAGGCTGCACACTTCTTAAACATCAACACTTTCCATATTTTTTGAGCTGTTTAGCAGTAAATTAGTCCTTTCTAATTCTCTCTCAGTTCTTTTACCAAAACAGCGATTATTGTCTTTTACACACGCCATCGGGTTACCTGTCCTTCATTGACGATATCCGATTACATCAGATCAAATTGGGTTTTCTGTCATATGGGCCCTTTAAAACACGGTAACATTAAAAAGTATGTAAACAGGCTGCTTTAAAATTGAGATTTATTTGGACATCAAATGTAATGTGATTCTGCTAACTTAATACATGTTTTATTTTGCCTTAAAACCCCCTGCATGTGCCTCTTATGATCATAATATACCTCTAATCATCATAAACGAATGTCTCATGTAATGCATTTCTGTGAGGGAGCTTTAATAAGCGGACGTCTGGCTCCTGTCACCACCACTGTGAACACGTCAGACCACTCTGAATGACGACTGTTTAATTATGCAGAAATTTGGAAAATCTCCTTTTATTAGATACAGTTTGGGGACTTTTGTCTTGTTAGGGGAGAAGAAAGGTTGTAGCGAAGTAGAAGAGAGTGGCTACAAGAATGTCCAGCAGCAGAGACAGTTTACATTGGGCGCAGTGTTTATGAAAGTGAGTGTTGGAGGGCCGAGACAAAGCCCCGTCGCTAGGAGACAGAAACGCCACAGGGCCCCTCGCCTTAAGAAGAGCTGAGAGAGAGAGAGTGTGAGAGGTTTCTATAGAGCTGGGAAGAATGTCTAAACCTCTGTCTCTCTCTCTCTCTCTCTCTCTCTCTCTCTCTAAAATACACAGTCTGGGTCAGTGATGAACTTTTTAAATTCACTGTTCTTTCAGTGCGACATCAGTATTGCTCCATCAGCTGCAGTGCTGACGCAACTGTGTTGATATTTAGTTTTAGCGTTATGGACAGTTAAAATAGTTCAGGGCTTGTAAAAGAACGCATTTTACTCGTCCGAAGGTCAGAATCTCTTGTCTGTAGGGCTGGGCAATATGACAATATGAATCATTATTGTTATAAATTGATGTCACAATACAAAATGCTTTTCTGAACATGTTGTGGATATTGTCAGTACTTGTAGAGCAACACAAAATATTGAATAAAAATCATTGTGTTCACAGTTTTTGATAGTTTTTTATGTAGCACTGCTGTTTTTTTCTTCTGTTCCAACTGATCAAATGTCTGAAAAATAAATGCTGTGAAAATTTCTATTGCGATATTTTTACCATATCGTCCAACACGACTTATCTACAGAAAAAAAGGTCCATAACATTTGCTGGTGACTGTTAGATGTAAAGCAGCTACATGTAGGACCCCAAAATTCCTAGAAAGCATGTTCTTCTCACATGTCCACAATGCTCGGTAAACATTTCAGCAAACACAAGTGTTTTCACTGTAGATGCTACAGTGCCAGTAGCTCCCCCTTGTGGACAGTCTTGTTAAATGTGAATGTGAGTGAGCGAGTGAGTTCCATGCATCTTAAAACCACACACTGTATGGTTTAAGGCTAACTTTAATTGCCACTTACTTCTCAGACAATTTGAGGTGGCCTGTAGAAGAATAATGGAATAATTTAATAAACCCCAAAATGTAATGAAATTTGGCTCCTAAATTGATCAACAATGTAATACTGTAGTAAAATGTTAGTCAGCCTGAAAATTCACTAAATTTCCAGTAAACAAGCCATGTCAGCTTTGTAAGACGGTCTTTAAGCATAGAGTAGCAGCACTGAGGGAGCAGGAGCTCATTAACTTTAATAATGCATTCATAAAGCATTCATAAATGTTAAAATCACCTGATAACAGAAAATAAAATAGGGATGTTGCCTAGCGCTAAACATCAGGCTGTAGACGTTAAATAACTCCTTTCAGTGTTTACTGAAGTCTTCATCTCTCTGTCTCTGTCTCTCTCTCTCTCTCTCTCTCTTTCTCTCTCTCTCTCTCTCTCTCTCTCTCTGCAGGGAAGTTTAAGCTGTTGGATCAGGATCGGGATGTGCGCGAGCCTGTACAGTATTTTTCCAGCGTGGAGGAAATCGCCGGAACTTTTCCCGATCGAGTGTTCGTCATGGAGCCGATCACGTTCAGCATGAAGGTCAGTGAAAGAAATTTGGTGTAGTTATGCGAAGAGGTGCACCGATACCAAATTCCAGGGTCTGATATGATAACAGATGATTAACACCTTATTGTGGCCGAAAAACAATTATAAACCAATTATAAATTATAAACCAATAATATTGATTTTTTTATTATTTTGATGTGTCTAAAGCAATTCATAACAGCGTGAATAACAATGTTCAAGATAATTATGAGGCAAAAAAAATCACGTCACACCTAAAAAGCTTAATACGTCTTTTCAAGTGGGCATTTTGCTGAGGTGTGGACGGTGATTTTAGGGTTATTAGGGTTATTATTTTATTATTGACATTGCTGTTGCTTCCTTTTATTTCTTTGACTTACTTATGCCTTACTTATGTTTATGTGAAAACATTTATATATTTTTTAAAATATTTTATTCTTTGTTTTTGAACCTGTTGTGAAGCACTTTGGGCTGCATTATTTGCATGAAATCCACTTTAGAAATAAAGCTTAGTATTATTATTATTATTATTATTGTTATTATTATAATTATAACTCTATCCCTAACCCTAACCTGTAGCTAAAAGCTGGACAGTAGTAAAACTGCCCCTAGCTAGCGAGTGTCCCCAGTCACTCATTTCACCACAGCATCTTTGAGACGACCCTGAACACAGAGATTAGAGGCTAATAGGTCTATATTATCTATACAATCTGTAAATCTATATAAAATAACTACATATCAAACCCTGTGCTACCCTGCTGAGTCATCATTCCAGAAAAAGATTCGTTCACATCAACATTAACTCACTCGTGATGAACTCGAGATGATTCAGTGATAGATCGTGAACTTGGCTTTACATTTCATGAAACAGCTGAATTCACTACGAAATCACAGCTAAACAAAGATCTCAAAATATCCATATATTGATCTTACCTCTGTTTTATTGTTGCCAGCTGGATCTCTGTATCTGAAAGAGGCGACTTTCACCGCACAGTCTGATTACCGTCTGATTACCGGAGCTTTTGTCATAAAAAGTGGTGTGTAACACTATTTGCTGTAAACCAAAAACCAAGTTTGATTTTAAGACTAAATATCTAACGAACTAAAATGTGGTTTGTGATGAACTTCTGTGTAATTACTGTTCTATCAGAATTTGCAGGAGTACTGTGAAATATACAATAAGAGAAGTTTCCGCCATGAGTGGCACGTACGCGTGCTCGGAAGCTAAAATACAACAGAAAAATATTGTTTGTAATTACCTTTGTAACGTAACACGTAGTTACTCTGTATTCTTTAAGTACGGACGATCACCATGATATGTTCAGAAAAGCGGATTGTGATGTCATTTATCACAATGACGATAAAATATTGTCATATTTCCCAGCCCTAACTTTTATTCATAATTTAATACTATTTTTAATTCATAATAACTTTTAATTCGTCATTATAAAACATTGTAATATGTTTTTATATAATGTGGATAAATTTATATCACATAAAATGTGCTTCATGTTTCCATTTTCAGTTCTGTTCAAGTACAACATCTGAGACCCACTCAGACTGGGTTCTTAGCAGCGTAGAACAGTGAATACTGCCCCCGCACAGTACAATGACTCGATACAGTAGTACTACTGTATTGTTACACCACTAATAATTACATATATATATATATAAATAAAGAATGCTCATGATGATCAAATCACATCCCTGAGCCCCATATAAACTACAAATCCCATCTTAAACCGGACAGAGAGAAGGAGGTTCAGTATAATGAGTGTGTAGCACTTCGAGAGGGTCTCTCAGCCTCTCAGTCTGTGTGAATAGTTTTTTGAAGCTCTTTCTAAATGAAGAGGAGACAGAGAAGCAGAGGTCACATACCAAAGCCTAGCACCCTCATGGGCCTGACATTTCCTCTCCCTCTCTCTCCCTCTCCCTCCCTCTCCCTCTCCCTCTCTCTCTCTCAAACACACACACACTTCTTATGTACACTGTCTCTGTGTCGGGTCATGTTTGTGTTGCCTGCTTCAGTTCGGTATCACAGTTTTTCTGTCTCCTCTGAACAAGGATTTCTCTCCTTAGCCACTGGGTGAAGCACGCTCTGGTGGTCCTCGGGCTTATACTGATACATTAGTCATTAGTAAACATTAGTAAACAGTATTAATAGCAGCCCTTCGACAACAGTGCACAAAGCAGCTTCATCCTTCTTTCTAATGCAGGTCTAACTGAATCACTTGGCGTTTTATTGTTTTCCTGAGCTGGTGAGGTTTGGCGAAGGTGAGGAACTTTCTTTGGTAGCATTGTTGCTATGCGCTGGGCGCTAAGTGCTAATACTAACTGGTTCCATTTGGTTTAGAGATTTTCAGCTGTTTGAGTTTGTTGGAAGGATGAGCTGCTAAATAGCTGGTCGCTTCATTTTCCCCATTTTGTGGCAGCTTGTTAAGTAATGTTAAAAGGCATTGTTTCATATTTGTTGGGGTAGATATGTAGGTGAGTGATATGGAAAAAAGGTAAAATCACAATATTTTAAGAAGATTTACAATAGAAAATATGTTAGGATATTTATTTTTTCTGGCATCTGATAAGTTGGAGCAGGCAAAGTAGTGCCACATTTAAAAATAACGATCAAAAACTGTAAATACAGTGATGTGTGTTTGACATTTCACACACTGCGCTGCATGACATCCAGTTAAACAGGGCTAAGTATGCTAAGTATGTCAAACAAGCAGTTGGGAGGTATTGTTTAAGTGCTGACAACCTCCAAAATATGCTCAGAAAAACATATTGCGACATAATTTCTCACAATAAGTGATAAAGAAGCGAAGAGTCATTTGACATGTTAAGATTCTAATTACATGTTCAACTGCAAACAGTTTCAGCTTTTACATTTTACAGGAATGGGACAGGAATTTAATTAACCAGGTGAAAATGACATGTTTGCTAGTAAATCCATTTCATACTAGTCAAAACTGAATTACTAGTCAACATTTAATATTTACTAGTGGAATTTTAATTTTCACATGTGAAAGTTGAACTCCTGATATCAAGAATGAAATATTAAATTTTTCACATTTGTAAACTGAATTTCTGAAAATCTTACATGCTAAAAGTGTAAGTTTTAGTAGTAGGTAGCGCTGTTGCCTCACAGCAAGAAGGGCCTGGGTTCGATTCCCCATCCGGGCAGCCAGGGTCCTTTCTGTGTGGAGTCTGCATGTTCTCCCCGTGTCTGTGTGGGTTTCCTCCCACAGTCCAAACACAGTCAGTCAGGCCAACTGGACATACTAAATTGCTCCTAGGTGTGAGTGTGTGTGTGTCGGCCCTGTGATGGACTGGCGGCCTGTCCAGGGTTTTTCCTGTCTTCCGCCCAGTGACTGCTGGGATAGGCTCCAGCAACCCCCTGCGACCCAGGAGGATAAGCTTAGATAATGTGTGTGTTTCTCTGTTTTTTTTTATTTCTTCTGTCCATTCTGACAGCCAACCGGAGCTTCACTTGGCCTGGGTCTTTAATATGAATGACCTTATTTACATGTGGATTTTGACTGGCCCTTTCTAGGACACAGAGGAAGAAACCACAGCTGTAAAAGGTGCCAGTACACTAATCAGCACCACGGTGTGTTTAGGTATAGCTCTTATTCATCATGCTGCACATTTTGGGTGGCGTAGCCTGACCTGGCGTAGCCTGGCGTAGTCTGACCCCCTGGCTCCATCTTTAAAGAACTTTAAAAGAACTTGACAGGAGCGGCGTTTTATGATGCGAAGGGCAGGAGCAGCGGTGCTGTGACGCAAACAGGAAATCCACCGTAGGGCAGACGATCTCGTTTTGGTTCAGCCTTTGTGGGTCTACGCAGCCTTTGAAGGACACACCTTTGTACACCACGTCCTATGAAGGATGCAGCCCCTGAATTGGGACACAGCTATTGTTTTTTTTAACACTTGTATCGTTCGCTATTCGACTCAGTTTAAAACCAACATTTAAAGTGTCTCCTCGGTCGCCGTTCGCTCGTCTGCTGACGCCGCCATGTTCTCGAATCCTCGCTGGCACACAGTGAAACTCGGGATATGTTGGCTGGCGAAGGATCCACCTGTTGGATCCTTCGTCGCAATGGAAAAGAAGGACACATTTCTCGGCCGCATATGAAGGAGGCTTCGAAATGGGACAGTCTAGTCGCACCGCTGTAATGCAATCGGCCTTCAAATGCAGCCTCTGAAGGATGCAGCCCCTGAATTGGGACGCAGCTTTGATTGAGCCCATTAAGAAAGACTTAAGTATGTGAGGGGAGCGATGGAGTGTGTGAGCGTGTGAGTGTGTGAGTGTGTGAGCGTTCGGTGCTCGTCTCAGTGTCTGTTTAATGGCCTTTCAGCCTTTCTGATCAGTGTAATGTGTTTTCTGTTTACCAGCTGTAGAAACTTCATTACCCATAATTAGGTTTGAGATGCATTTTAATTGAGCATGGCTGAATATACTGCCGAGTCATAATCCCATTAAGTGCCACAATATTAGCCTCTGCCTGAAGAGATCTTGACTCTTAATGGATAATTCCACCCAAAAACGAAATTCTAAAATAACTGCCCTAGATGTAACTATGAATATGTTGTAGAAATCGTTGAGGCTGAAAGAAGTTCACAAATTCTTCACTTGTGTTGAACAGTGGAAATAACTGATGTCTAATTTAAGGGTGTTTAGTTAAAGAGTAGTCCCACTGTAAGAATAACGATGTGCTGCAGTGGATGTTCATCATAATTCAACAGTTAAAATAGAAATCAATAAAATCACTTGAATAATTGATACTTTTACTGCTTTTGTGAAGCCAGTAGTGAGTTAAATGTGTGTTCATTTGCAGCTAGGCAAACCTATCATTGTATGCATTTGAAAGGGGAACTCCACCGATTTTTTCAAAATTTTTGCGGAATTCAGCTGTTGATGTAAACAAAGTCATTCCGAGTGGTTTGGAGTGAAATCGTTGATTGTAGAGACTCAGATGTCTGTACAGTGGTGGTGATAGGAACCAGGGGTCAGTATGACTACAACACAAATATAGACATTTTATTTACTGTCCAAAACCAGCAGTGGACCTACACGAGTCTTCTGAGTTTATATATGTAATGTTGATAATGGTAAAATAGTGGTAAATCTGGGGAGTGGGGGGGCTTGGGCAATATTGTGCCCCCAGCACTCTACATGTACCTCTTTGCTGTTAATTAATTACAAAAATAAGCCAAAACCATCTTAAAATGGTCATAAAACAGTGTCTCAGGCATCAGGCAGTGAATTCATAACCATTTTGTTTGCTCACTTTCTGTGAGGAAGCTTTTAGAGGAGCTTTTTTCCTGTCGCCACCACTTTCACCAGATTCTGACTCGACAGTCTAGAATGGCACATTTCACTTCAAACCACTCTAAATGACTACATCTCAACAGCTGTGTTTACATGCAAAGATTTTTGCCAATCCGATTGAATACAATCCGATTACAGATTCAGACTGAGGTGTTTATTCTCACTCTACTCAACAATCTGATGAAAATCTCTGTTTACATGCTCACTACAAGCAACACGGTCCAAAATTATGCACATATGTAGAGAACCACTTAGTGTAGACGTTACCATGACAACCAGCATCATGTGAGCCCAGTCAGAGTGAGATGAGCAGCAGTGAGCAGTGCTTGTGTTTTAACCGCTTTGAAATGATGTCAGACTCAGGAAAACGTCCTTCACATGTCCTTATTAAAGAAGGCCGAGAGGAAGACGTCGTGCTCTGAGACACATAAGCTGGACGTCTGTCCCACCGCCATCTTTTAAAGATCAGAGCATGAACTTTGTCTCCTCTGCAGACCAGTTTCTGCTCCGCCATGTTGAACGGTATAAACTTTCACTTTGACGCGACGAACATGATCAGAACGGACTTAAACTTTCCGATAGGGAATGTAATCAGATACAGGCGTTTACACGGATATTATTCTTCTATTTAACGGATTATTTACAGGATTACTCACCTCAGTCAATCAGATAGAAAGTGCATTCCGAATGGCCTCAATCGGACTAGTGTAAACTATTGTTTACATGGGCGTATTCTATTCTGACTGAGCTAATAGTGGATTATTAATGTATTATTAGGCTGCATGTAAATGTGGCTACTGATTGAATTATGAAGCAGTTTTGAAAAATGGATGGAATTCCTATTTCAGTGTAGAATTTAGTGTCTTTGTCCCATCACGTCTTGTTAAACACATTTTCGGTGTTAGCTGAGCTCTCTAACAAACGCAAAAATGATACACTAATGCTACTTTTTAGGGGTAACCATCTCCCCTTCTCTCTCTTCCCCTCTCTTTCTCTCTTTCTCTCTCTCTCTCGCTCTGTGTAGGTGGTATCGGGGGAGTTCAGTGAGGACAGTGAGGTGTATAACTTCTCTCTGCAGGCGGGCGATGAGCTGACCCTGATGGGCCAGGCCGAACTGCTCTGTGTCCAGTCCCCCCGCGAGAAGTCGCGCCTGGCTGCGTTGCTTCGGCGACTGGGAAAGGCCGGCGGGGCCCTGGGCCGTCCCACCCGCGCCAAGGTGCTCTAATTCTGTGGATAGTTCACTGAGACCCTACTGAGACCTTTACCTTTAAAAACTCTTTATTTGTCCATTTGTCACATGTAAAGGGCAGCTGACAATTCAAATAAGAAAAAAAAGAAAAGATAAAAGAAATTCTGATGTTTTTGCATGAACGCAGTGATAACAACTATTAATAACTATTAAAAATTAACAATATTCAGTAATGCTGCAAAAATGCATTGTTGTTTTTCCGTATCGTCCAGCCCTAAGATGTAGTGTTTTGGTTGCAGGTGCCCTGCCTGATCTGCATGAACCACCGGACTAACGAGAGTGTGAGCCTGCCGTTCGGTTGCCGTGGCCGTTTCTGCACGCGCTCACCGCAGGAGCTGCGCATGCAGTCTGGAGAGCACACGGTCCGCAGCATCGTGGAGCGTGTGCGGCTGCCCGTCAACGTGGCCGTCCCATCCCGTCCGCCGCGGAACCCCTACGACCAGCACTGCGTCCGTGAGGGCCAGCGCTACAAACTCCTCGGCATCATCAGCAAGACGGTGGTGCTGTGCTGCGTCCTGCGCAAGGAGGAAGTGACACCCTCCCACTTTCTGCTTCTGACCGACATGCCGCGCTTTGCCCTGCCAGACGGCCTGCTGCGCAGCGACCCCGTCTACCAGCAGGCGGTGCTGCAGAGCGCCGTCCGCTGCCAAGAAATGTTCGACCCGGACGATTACTCGCGGGCTGTGAGGGAAGTCAAGACTGATTTCATGGAAGAGTGTCTGAGTCCGCGGAGAATACGGGTGTGCGTCCAGGGATTCGGGCGCAACGACCTTGGACAGTCCCTGCAGAGGCTTTCCCTGTGCGTTTACGGGGGCGGAACCATCACGCACACGCTAACGCAGGGCTGCAGAGACTCGCTGAGCAACACGCACACCTCACAGAGCGAGGGGGAGGGGGAGGACCGCGAGTATGTCACCCCCGATTGGTCCACGGAGACGCAGGAGATTCCGTACGAGGAGCTGTGGACCAATCAGAGCGGCGGAAGCTACGGAGAGGTCCAGGAAAGCACAGTGAAGGTGGAGCACAACCTCATATCCTTCCACTCCACCTCGTCTCTGGACGGGACGACGGGTCCTACCCAAGTGGCCACCACGGTGCAGATGGAAGCGGGACGGGTGGCAACTCCGCCCCCTGTCCCACCCAAATCGGAGGCTGTGAGTAGATTTTGCCTCTTTGGGCTCTTTTTAGTCAAGTCACCCTATTTTTTTTCTCTTTAATGATGAGAACACTTTCCTCGACTTAACTACAACAGTAATGAACGACACCTCCGTTCCCCAAGCGAATATGTTAGCCGTAATCTTGATATGTGAAAAATAAGGTGGACAGTGACCTGCAGTGAAATAGCAGAGCTAGCTACTGCATGGTGGACAGAAAAAATTGCCTACTGACCACAAGTTCACTTTAGAGAATGAGCATCCCATGTTGTCCTATTACCCTCAAGCCAAAAACAGCTCCAGCTTCAACTTCTTGGCCATTTAATATGTGTTTTTTCAGACTATGCCGAGGATTTTTTTGCCTGCATGGCCCTATTTTTCAGCAAAAAACAAAGCTTGTCATTTTTTTGCGTCATAAATCTACTATCAGAAAATCTTCACTATATAATCTGACATGCAGCATAACTGGTCACTCTGTGTGACGCAGAATTTCATCCCCTTATTTGTGAGGTTATTATGAGGTTCCATCTGTGTTCTGAACAGTTTTGAGACATTGAGCTTCAAAGATTTTGCATTCCAAATAGCAAAACTGATATGTGAACACGTCTTTGTATACATGAAAATGACAGACACTCTAAATTTATTCTAAATGTACAATATCAAACCACTATCAAATTTGTAAATTAGTATTTTTGGCTGAAATGCAGAACCTTCTAATCCTGAGAACTCACTTTCTGCTTGGATTTATAAGGTTCTACCTGGCAAAACATGAAAAAAGCAACGATTTTCAAGGAACCCAAACAGGTTATACTTGTAGTTTTTAGTAAAAAAGTGTCTACATTATCAGAAAGTTAAATTTAATGCTCTCTATGACATTTTTATGATGCTCATTTTTATTTATTTACTTTTTTCTTGTTTTAGGACAAACCATCATTTTTTTGCATTGCAGATTAAGTATAAAGGTCAGTGCTAAATATTTTGTCCAGTGCAGAGGTCACTTTTTGGTAGGAACCATTAGTTTAAGTGTCCTTTAGGTCAGACAGCGACCAGCTAGTGTAATAAACTGTCCCAGCAGGTCAGTGTAGCAGGTCAGTCTAAAGGCAGAATGAGGTTTTGTTTTATCAGAAATGTGAGTCTAATGAGCCGAAATGTTTGATACTGGAAGAAAGAAGAAAAAGAAAAGATGGATGGTTGAATGGAATTAATGTTTATGTTATAATTAAGACCCCATCAGGTCAAATGTATACTGTTTAGTTACCTTTATAGCTTAACATTTATGACATGTTCCATGTTTCATAATGTTTTATAAACGTTGCCCAACATCACTTAAGCGGTGCTGTGACATGACAAAGAAGCAGAACCTGATTGGCTCACAGATGGAACCTTATTGAACTAAGCTAGAGTTTGACTTTGGAGAGTAATGATATAAGACCGCTGCGATCACTGTTGTGGCAGAATCAGATTTGTGGGTAAAAATAAAATAATCCTCCTTTACAGTAAAATAAAGCTCTGCTGATCGTTCAACACAGTTTAACAATAAATGGACTTAAACTCTGGAGTTAATGTAGAACTGCTAATTCACCCTTTAACCCTGAAGGTGGGTCCACAGACTGCTGTTCACCATAGCAACGCAGACAATAATCTCGCCTAGCTAGTAGCTAACAAAACAACTAAGATTTAAAATGAACATTCATAATTTGGAGACAAATTGACTTATTTGCATTTATAATCACTCCAGCTGGTTTCCTGATATGTTTAATCTGCAACGAGAAACTGACAAACACCAAAACGTCATGAGGCTGAATTCAGATTCTCCTGATCCACCTTAAATGGTGCAGCAGTGTCATTCTGCCATCTCAGGCACCATTTAAAGTGGAACAGGAAAATTTGCACAAGAAGCTGGCGAATGAGAAGCGACTTCAGCCTCGTAAAAATCGAACATTGAGACATTTTACAAGAAACTGCTCTACGTTTGGAAAAGTTTCCTGCCAGAGATGCGAGAAAAGCAGCTATAGCTGAGCTAAAGCTTAAAGCAGAGCAAAGTGAGTCTGAGTTTTTGTTTATATTATATTTTTTAGCCTATACTAGCACATCAGCACATACTGAGACATATTTACAGACAAGATGGTAAAACTGACATCAAATGTTGTGGCTCGCAAAGTGGTTTAAGTTTTTGTTGAAAGGACAAAATGGCTCTTCTCAACATTTGGGTTGCCGACTTCTGGCACAGTGCAGAGCAAGCTGTACTCCCTCTTATCTAAAGAGTCACTGCGGAATACAGGAACATGCACACAGGTCAGGGCTCATGGCAGACACACACAGGGTCATGCGTGGACTGTTAGGGTGCATTAGGATCCGTACAGCATCGTAAAGCGCTGCAGTTCCAGACTAGGCCTAAATTATTGATACGGCTTTTACAGGCCTAATAATGACCACACGCTTACCGGAACAGCGCACGCACACGCACACACATCTACACACGAACAGAGCCACAGAAACTTTACTGTATCATCAGGGCTGCAGTCGTGATTACTCTCTTTAGCTCTGACAGCTGGAATTACAGCCTTTCTGCCCTCTGCTCTCTCTCTCTCTCTCTCTTTATCTCTCTGTCTCTCGCTCTCTCTCTCTTTATCTCTCTGTCTCTCTCTCTCGCCTTCTTTTCAACCTTTTGCTCCTTCGCTCCCACGCAAATTTTCTGCTCTGGTCTGTAATTTAGTTAACCAAAACACACACACGCACACAGTCCCTGGTGTATGTGGACAGGAAGGCGGCTCTCTCAGAATGGCCTCTGGCGTCGGGCAGAGGAGGAAGTGTGGGCAAATATGTAGATTAACAGAGCGTGTCACTATGACGGTGCAAGAGGTCTGTTCCACAAGAGTGAAAGCTTTGTCATTCACAAACGCACAAGACTGTACTGTAAAGGTGAATCATGCATGCTTTTGTTTTTGTTTTGGTACATAATATCCCCCCCTGAGCAAACGGAAGACGTGTGGTCATTCAGACGTGTTTGCCTACAATGTAACAATAGTGACTTTAAAGAAGGCTTTAATAGGTTTTCATGTAAGAAGTATGGTTGAATATTACGGGAGTCACGGTGCGGAGCGCCAAACAAAACAATAGTCATAGCTAGTGGGGCTGCTGCGTCCGTAGATCATGACTGAGATGAGTCTGTGGTCATCAATATGTGGGTGCTTGCTTTGATCTGTTGTAGTGATGTTGAGTCCACAGCTGGTTTGTAATGTTGATGGTCCAGTTAGCTGGTTATTCCAACACGGTGTTAAAAGTCCCATGTCATGGAAAAAATATTTTTTCTAGAGATGGACTTTCCAACCTGGCTAAACGGTGCGAAATGTTAATTTCTGCATTTCCTATTTCACAGATTTTTGTGCAAATTTTCTATTCCACCTTAAATGAAGCAGCAGTTACATTCTGGCACCTGCACAGCTGCATGAATGCAACTGCTGCACCAGTTAAGGTGGATTGAAGGGAAATTTGAATAATAAGCCAACTTTAGCTTTGTTGAATTTCTGAAGTCGCTTCTGAAGTTAAAAATATTACAATCATTCATGTTATCAGTACCAGTCGGCTCATGGCTCAACCTGGGAGATGCCATGCCACCTGATGACCGAGTCAGGTGGCTCGTTAGATGGTACGAGAGGAAACCATGTGTCCATGCTAGGCTAATGCTACCCCAAAAATGACCAGCTATTCCTTTAAATCCGCTTGAACTAGATAATGGTACATTGTACTATGTATATAGCTTCAATGCAAACACTTTGTATGGAAACCAAGCTTAAAAAAATATCATTTTAAATTCATGGTTGTGATGTCACAAACATGAACACATTTACATTTGACAGCCCATTCAGCCTACAGTAGTTTAGCTCCGCCCAATCATGTTCAATTAATGAGTATTGATGAAAACAGTCTCTCGCAGAGAGAGATAAAATTGGAGTTATTAGAGTGGAAGATGTGGGAAAACGATTAAACGTTGTGCTGTTCATGGCTGTCAGGAAGCAAATGGATCACTGAAGCGTTCCGAAGCCTGTTTGTTTCATGACTGGGTTTTATTCATATCAGCAAACAGTTTCCATTTTCAGCTTAACATAATATTCAACGTTGTAAAAGCACAATGTCTGAGATGTTGCTGTCGCCTCACAGCAAGACGGGCCGGTGTTTGATTCCGGGGCTGAGTGACCAGTTTGCATGAATTGCCCATAAAAAATTCATGAGCAATGCATCCTTATTACTGATAGTTTTGAAAGATTAACTCGCAACATTTACATTACTGTGTAAAATGCTAAAAGATGTAATAAGAAGTAATACAGAATAAATTTAGAACTTGCCATATCAGGTCTGTAAGACATACTGTACTCAGGAAGCACATGTTTATTAATGCTAACTAAAATGTCATCTGATAGTATAATATGTTTTATAAATATTGCAGTGTTGCCAGGGTATTTGTTTATGTTGCCATTGCGTCTTTGTTTAATATTTTGGAGGCTTCGTCTTTCCTGTGCCGCGAAAGTTGTTTCCTAAACTACAATACATTTGATCAGTAGAGGTCTTTAGATAGAACTGTTATTGTTAATATATGGATAATAATGGATGTAACTTATACGTTATTATTAGTTATTAGTTTTTTATTAATGATAAGAGGCTGGTATATCGTAGAGGCATGATGAAGGCAAGTCTGATGAACCATCTCAAATGTGTGTAGTGATCCTCATCAGAGTCTGCTTAGAAGGCTACAGGCTGATTTCAGTTCATCTTATTATTTCAGTTCATTTTATTATTATTAATGGTGATTTAGACAATAAGTATTCAGACACTTGTTCAGAAACACCAGTAAGTGTTCAAAGCCTGTAAGACATTAAATATTGAATTTGATTACTACTGAGAATTCAGAAATATTGCTGCATTTATCGCTGCATTCAAGGGTTCTTTAGTAAAGAAAATGGTTCTATATAGAGCCATGAACACTCAAAGAACCCTTTGCATGAATAAAGGGTTCTCTGCATCATGAAAGCGTCCTTCAGCCTGATGGAGAACGTGCATGAATGTGCTACAGATGTTTATATAAAGAAACCTATTTGAGAAGGGTTCTGTAGAGCACCCCAAAGTGTACTTCTGTTGTCACAAGCTTGACACTGTGACAATAGAAGAAACTATTTGGGTGCTGTATAGAACCGTTTTCCAAAAAGGTTCTATGTAGAACCATCTACAGCACATTCTCCATCTGTCTGAAGAACCCTTTCATAATGCTGAGAACCCTTTAATCATGCAAAGGGTTCTTTGAGTGTTCATGGCTCTATACAGAACCATTTTCTTTACTAAAGAACCCTTGGAATGTAGCCCTGTGTGACGTCCCGCTGTTGTGTGCTGCACCATGAGGCCTGAAGAACGACATTTCCTCCCAATGTGTACAAGTAACATTGAGGAATAACAAAGACCACCTAACTACACTCTTAACAAGACAGTTCTTCAGGGGTTCTTTAGTGAAGGCAATGGTTCTATTTAGAACCATGAGTTCTCTATAGAACCATTTCATGCTTGGTTTTTTGCATGGTGAAATGGTTCTTCAGATTGATGGAGAAGGTGTTGTAGATGGTTCTATATAGAGACCTTTTTAAAAAGGGCTCTATAGAGCACCAAAAAGGGTTCCACTATTGGAAAGAACCCAAAGAACCCTTTTTTGGTATTATATAGAACCCTTTTTGCTAAGAGTGTAGTTGCAGATGCTGGAGCCTTTAGCAGAGCGATCCAGAACTGGACATTAGTCATTTAATACACACCTTTCTTTGGATTCACCTAGTAAACTGTCCTCTCTCTCTCTCTCTCTCCTCTCTCTCTCTCTCTCTCGCGCACTCTCTCTCTCTCTCTCTCTCTCTCTCGCGCTCTCTCTCTCTCTCTCTCTCTCTCTAGGTAAAGGAGGAGTGTCGCTTTCTGAATGCTCCTCCTGTTCCACCTCGCTGTGCTAAAGCAGGAGGCCCCGCCCCTAGCCCGCCAGTCCCGCCCCGCTTCCCTAAAGCCCCACCCACAAACACCCGCAGCCCAAACCTGTCCTATTACTCCTCAGGCCTGCAAGAGAGGTACGTCCACACCCACACTGTGAGGAATGTAACGGTCATACGCACAAGCGTTCATTCACATTCTTAGATGTTACTTTGAGTATGACAAACGTGGGGTAGCAGTTAAAAGACTGAGTGGAAATGGGACATAAATATGCTCTTCACCTTCCTCATTTTTGGAGGACAGGGTTGCCCTGTGCAGCGTCAGCCCCGAGAATTAAACAAACTACTGGAGTGATGTCCACCCACTGGAAAGATTCCCCACTCACAAGCCTTTCTCCAGCGTTTTATTTATCTGGGCCAATTCTGGACTCTTAGGGTGAACTTTGGGAAGACCCGCATGATATCAGGATTATTCTCCAGCCTGTTTTCCACTCAGAGCCAGAATGTGCTGGCGGTGGTTCCGGGACATTAAGGAAACTTTTTGTTCTTTTTCGACACTATGAAGTGACCGGTTGTGGTGGTGCAGGAGGGCAAGCTTGTGGTTAGAAGAATAGAGCCTTGCTTTGCTCTTCTCTCCAGGCTCTTGGCTCTTTTTACTGTTCAACATCAACACTAGAATACATAAATAAACACTGCTCATGGTGCACAAGGTAAGTGAGCGTACTTCGGGGGAATAAACTGTGCAGGGCATTTCCCAGGACCGGAGCAGAGAACCACTAACCACAACACCAACATTAAACACAGACATCACCGGAGCATCTGTGTTTACACATGCATAATATAAGCATTGCTGTCCTCACAGCCAGTTACAGCAATAGGAGGTTCATGCATTTACATCACGATGATTTCCAGTGACGACAAGGAAACACTGCTGTCTGAGAAAATCATGAGGCACAGGGTAAGTTAAGCTAACTGTCCACAGGCAATACTAACCGAATCCATCGCAATATTTGGACATTTACGTTGATAACTTACTGCAACGGTTTGCTTGGATTACACAAGGAAACACTGCTGCTGCCTGAGAAGCTCATGGTGCAGAAGGGAAGTTAACCTGCTGTCCAGAAGCAACAGTGATCATACATCCCTACAATATACCCACAACTGGACATTTACATTATCATAACTTAACAATGTATTTCCATTGTGTTACTTAATTGTCTTTGGCGGCATCTGTTCCTATGGCAGAATCACGAGGAGCATGATTCAGCGTCTGAAGAGTCATCACAGTCCATCGCTCCTCGCAGCTAGAACTTCATCTGTAATAAAGTGGACTTAACTGACCAATGAGCTTTACGTCGTTTTAACACAGCAGATTCTCCTGGTTAAAATAGTATGCTTGTGTCGTACTGCTAAGGGTCGTCACACAAGAATATTTATTCTGTGACTGGGCACAATAGTGCTGAAAACTGAATGATCTGGACAGACAGGAACGGGTCAGTCACATACTGCACAGTGACCTCCATTTCTCGCCCTTTTGGCTTCTCAGCCTTGTCATTTCTTTTTCAAATGAGGACTCTTGATTCCTTCTTTTATATCTCTAATTCATTTGTTCTGGCTTTCTCAGACTGTGCTTTAACCCTTTAAGACTGAACTTGTCATGACAGGTTAAACTTTACTACTGTCAGAAATCAACAACCCTCAAGCTCTATGTTGAACCACAGGAGCTGAGCTTTCTTGCAGTGTGCTTTGTGCAGCTCCGTTCGTCGTATTTCCCTCTGAAATCCCAGCTCTGATCTGGACTGACATCTGCAGAGTCATCTGAGTTGCCTGTATTGTTTTTAGGTTGTTGCTTGGTAGCCAATCAAAGCAGGAGTTTAGCTTTAGAGGCCCTCCCACACAGCTCTGGTTTCAGTCTGAAAAGGTGCTGAATCAGAGCATAAAGGTAATCTGATAAGATAATGTATCAACTTACAGTGAAAAAAATCCAATTGTCAAGCTTTTGCATAAGATTAACACTTATCGTCTTGCTTTGCAAGCACTGTTTCTTTTAGGTGGTGCATCTTGTTTTCTTTTTCTTAAGGTCATTTCTGCGTATTCTTTTTTGGCCTATTTTTACACTGATCTTTCACACTTTCTTCTCCATCTAAAACATGTGTCAGGATCCAGTCCTCGTGGGCTAAAACACCGCAGACTTCAGCACACTGCCTCATTAAACACCTGATTCAGCTCATCAGCTGATTAGCAAGGCCTTCATGAACTGAATTCAGAGTGTTAGATGAGGGTAAACACTGATCTCCACAGCACTTTGGCCTGGAAGGTCCCCAGTTTGACATGCCTGATCTAAAACGTCATTTTTTTAAGTAGATCTGACGAGCCACTTTTTACGGTGCTGTCTTTCTTTTCAATGGTTAATGTAGAAAATTCATTCTGCAAACTGTGAATCTCTGACTGCTTTGCCTAAAACCTTTTTGGATTGTCAAGCTTTTTGCAGAAGATTTAGAGCCTGTTTAGTTTCCTTGAAAGCATTGAATTTTCACTCAGATGCAAAACCACTACATAATTTGCAAGGCGAGCACTGTTGTCAGTCTTGGTTTCCTCCCTTTCTATAGTTTTTTTGGCCTTTCAACCTTGTTATTTATGTTTTTTTCATGTTCTGGAACTTTTATTGTTTTCACACGTCTTTTACTTAAAATCATTGATCTCAGATTTATTTTGTTTGTGCTTATCAGTTGATTTCACATGTTCATCTGCAGACGTTCTTTATATTTTTTCTCCAGAATTTATTGATTTATCTTTTCCTCATTTGTCTTTGCATTTCAAGCAGTTGATTTCAAAACATTTTCAAAAGTTTGACTCATCTAAACTTTGTAAACTTTTCATTTTCCTTCTTTTTTGCATTTTCACATTTGAATTCTGTGAATCATTGCTGAGAAATTTTACTGGTGGAGATAATTGTGACATTGATCAACTGAAGGACATTTTCTGATAACATTATTCTTGGTGGCATTTCCTTCAGTAACTACGTATCTAATTCCCCCCTCACTCTCTCTCTCTCTCTCTCTCTCTCTCTCTCTCTCTCTCTCTCTCTCTGTCTCTCAGCTCGGCTCCTCGTAGCGACAGCAGCTCCCCGTCTCCAGACTCCTACTCCCTGTACTGTTATCCCTGCACATGGGCCGACTGCGTGACCTCTGACCCCTCCGTGTCGCCAGACCCCACTCAGCCCGCACAGGCCTGCTGGTCCCACCCCAGGGGGGGCGGGGCCTTCACCTCAAACGTTCTGAACACCCCCCTCCTCAGCGCTGACTCCGCCAACAAGAACTACTCTACTTGCACAAGGCCCCGCCCACAGGCGCAGAACCGCTTTGCTCCATTTGGCGCCCTAAACCCTTTCGCTAATCCAGGACACCGCCACAGTTCCTCTGATTGGCTGGCTCCTGGACGGAGCTCCCCAACTCTGATACCTGACCTCACTAGCTCTGCCAGTAAGGAGCCTCCAGCCAACCAGGAAACCTCAGAGGCGAGTCCAAGTCCTCTGGCCCGACCAACAAAGAGCTCAGAGGAGGAGGAGGCTGTGACACCAAACCCTGCCTCCAGTTTGGCCACGGCAAGAGGGGCAGAGGGCGGGGCCGTGTCCTCGTGGCGACCGCCCGCGGACCTCTGCTGGCTCTCGGTGGAGGAGGTGTCCGCCAGCCTCCGGTTCATCGGGCTGTCGGACGACGTGGTCGGCCTGTTCAGCAGAGAAAGGATCGACGGCTCCATATTCACGCAGCTCACGGAGGAGATACTGTCTGAAGACTTCAACCTCACCAAACTGCAGGTCAAAAAGATCCTGCAGTTCATCAAGGGCTGGAGGCCCAAGATATGAGCCTTCGAACACATGCTGCGAACAGATTTGAGGGCACATACCTGTAACGATACGCAAATGAAGAAGGTACGGTAGTGTCAGACAGAAGTAGCACAATTGTATGTGTGAATATGAAGAGTGTGTGACCATTTGATTTCATACTAGGGCTTGCACGACTAATTTTTAATAGTCGGCTAGGTGTTCAGGAAAAAGTACAACAAGACATCAGTGAAAAGTATTAAAATGACAAGCATAAAGAAAAGCTTGCTACAAGCAGCGAGCAGCGGATGCTTCGTTTTGAGATGCAGGGCAAGTTATTTTGCTGCAATTCAATGTAGTCTTAAGCACTGTTGCTGGATTGGTTTTACCATGGTGGGTTCTGTAATATATCTATGGGATTTAACTGGGTGATCTGCATAATTTCTCCAAATCCCACTGGGATTTAAAGGTCATAGTCCAGATATTCATATCAGTGTTGCACACAATAACATGCTGCGTGGCAGGTCAGGGCAGGTTTTATTATTCTGTGAGCTGGATTGGAACAGCACTGTTATTACTGAGGGAGCTCAGAGTTCAGCCAACTGACCGTTTGCAAAATTATGAAAAGTCCCGCCTCACTTTGGGCTGCATTCCCAAACAACCCAACTCCGAAAAGAACCGCACCCCAGTGAGGCGAGGGCCGTTACTGGCCTCACACCATCCACGGGCTGAGCCTCGATCACAAGGATTGAGACCCCTGGCCCGTGCCGGGTGAAATGGGCTTCTGTATGCCACATTTCCCCCGCGCCCGTTAAGGACGGGGGATTCAGCGCTGGGCTCTTCCCTCTTCGCTCGCTGCTACTAGGGGAATTCTTTGTTAGTTTCTTTTCTTACGCTTAGTAATATGTGTCTGTCAAGCTTAGGGCAGCTGGCAGCATCCCTAGCACTTGTGCAAAACCACTAAAAAGTTCAGCAGCACAAAGGAAGATTTAGAAGCACATAAGGAGAACTTTTGAAATCAGTTTACAAGAACTTTATTGCAGATATGCACATATGAAAATCAACAAAATATGCATTTAAAGAGAACAAATGATTCCGGAAGGCATGTTTGCATTAATCAAACCAGGTTTGATCTTCTAGTGACTTGTCAGGTTTTCATAAATGAGGTGCTTTGAGCGACATGAGCTCCCCCTTCAGACGAGCTAATGCTGAAGCTAATGCTAGAGCTGGTCTAAGTGATGTTAGATGCTGAGTAGTACTTGTGAGCGCAATACAGTCCTGTTTAATCTGATTTATCACACTGTGAGCAGCTAAGTTTTGACAGGAGAACTTGTTTACTTGTTTACGACTGTAAAAAACATGGACGATGTGGCTCTGTGCTCTTCCATTTAGGCTTCAAAATGACTGCTCACTGTCCAATATACAGTGTAGGGGAAACAAGTATTCAGACTCTTCTGTATTTTTGCTATTTAATAAACATCCAGTGCATAAATCCCCTCAAATGTACACGCATAGTGGTCCAAATTCAACAAATGCCTGTAATAACATATGAACTACTCTGCAGGGAGATTTGAGTGCGAATAATCAGCTTCAGTGCGTGAAATCAAGCGCCAGCCTACCAGCACTTCATTCACATTTCATGTACATGAAGCACACCCTAAATCAGGCAGATGTTTTGGTAGGGAGCCAAAAAATGACAGCATTCAGCGGCTTGTGACCCAATGGCTGTGCTTGTAGGCGGAGTCAAGCGGTGGGTGCACCGCGCCCCCTACTGACCAAACTTTACAATGTTAAATTTATAACGACTGGCATCTTTTTTAAGCGTGGCAGAAAGATGTGATTGTGTAGTGCAGGTGTGCTGTAGAAATGAAGCAGTGAAGATATGACATTAAACATTTGTGGTTATTCACTTTTGTATTAGCTGGTTTCAGAAAACATCTCATAATTTGATTAACGTTAGGCAGAATGTTTTAGTGTCCAAACTGAAGGCTGTTTCAGTGCCACGTCGAGTGTGTGGTTGGCTAATGTTAGCTAGCAGCTAGCTAACTCAGGGATGAAAATGAGCCACTTATAACCACAAAGATGGCGAAAAACTTCCAACCGAGGATCTGTTAGAAGAGTTTAGTGTCCAATCAGACATTGCTTCACTTCAAAATGTTGTAAATCACTCAAACTTATCTATGCTGTAAAAAAGTAAACAATGTCAGATGGAGCCGCTGCTGTGCTGTGTCTGTTGTGGTCCAAGCTGTAGAGAAACAGAGGGAGTCTGTGCGTTCATGAAACTGTCAATCAATACACCCATAACTATCAATCACCTCCTCACCGCACCCTTTTAAATATCACCAAATAACTTCTATAAAACAGATTTGTTGTGAAAGATTTACAATAGATTTATTGTGTCAGTGGCATCCAAGGAAGTCGGCAGGATTAAAAGTTGTACTGCAGCCAGCCACCAGAGGGCGTCAGAGACATTTTGGTTCCACTTTTCGTCCCCATCACGTTGTCCATGTTTTTACAGTCATTGGCTGATCTTAACATTTCTCCTATAATGTTCCTTACCGTTTGGCAATTTATTAAAACGATTATTAGCAAATTCAGTAACCCCGATGAAGTTTAGCTAACCCTCGGGCCTGCATAAGTCTGTCTGGTAGTAGTTTTGATGCTGAGCTATGAGTTTGGTCTTCTGCAGAGTTCAATCCAGAACTTGTATAGCTTCGGGAATAAAATGACATTAAAAACAGCTCCAATCCGTTATTATACGTTCCTCAGTAACACCTTTTCACAAAATTGACCAATTTACTGCCACCGCGATTCTCACTGCAGGTTTGTTGGGTTTTCCCTTCGCTTGATGGAGGAAGAAGCTTCTGATTGGCTAAGTGGTGTGTCAGTCATTATTTAGCAAGCGGTCAGGCTGTAAGAACTACACACATTGAAGACTGATACATGATTAAAATCACAGTAATGACAAATTACAGTAGCGCCCCTGGGAAACTAATCCAGCTCCAGTAGGACTTGACAGAGGAATTAGTATCTCTTATGAAGTTCGTCCAGCTAGTAAGGTACATTCGGCTTCATGTTCTGCAGAAAAAGACTTGCTTTGTGTTGACTATTGCTTATTGCAGAAGGCCACAGTATTTCATTACTCAGTAAGACACCCACAGCACTGACTAGTAGACAATTCAGTTCGACTAGCATGAGTAGCCCTTTGCTCATATCACGCTCCTCCTGAACGCTCAAAGCTCAGCTGCTGAGGGACGCTGTCCCATCAAACTACTGAACGCCCATGTGTATGTGACTGTGTGGATCAGAGTAGGTTATCAGCCAGTGTCTGTGTGAGTGCTGCATGAGTGTGTTGTGTTTTAAAATGAGAGATTTTATATATTTAAATATCACTAGTTCAGCACAGAGTGTCTACAGGGACTAAACTGTGTAGACACTGGGGACTGTCTCAAAACTCTACGCCTCCTCAGTAAAAAATGACTAAAAAGTGACTAATCTAATATCGAGCACTATTTGAATTTGTATGTTTTATTTTTGGGGTGTTGGCCTCATCGTTTAGAGCTGTTCAGCAGGTGCCTTTAAATGATAAAAGAACAAAGATGATAATTCTGCTGGATTTTTAATGAACTTTGTTTTTTGTTTGTTTTTTTTTTTTTAAACCCCAAAATGTGACAGCTTTGTACTTCCCTCTCTGGTTTGGCCTTGAATGTGTATGTGTGTGGTGACCCTCTTGCTCCTGGACACTGTAAGGCAATTATTGCCGCTGCTTCTTTGAAGTGAAATTATGCCTGTGTGTAATGGCCATTAATTTTAAGAAATAATTTGGAAAAAATGATAATGAATTAACGCACCCCCTCCTCCTCACCCCAAGTCTAGATCAGCCAAGCTGTGGTTGGTGTCTGAATATTGCTTCTTTAGTTTTATTATACGAGTATTCAAACTTGCAGTGCATATATCCTCTCAAATATCCACACATAGTGGCTGTTATTCATCAAAGTTGTGCACCTTTAATGATTAAGGATATACATTTCAGCTTCAGTGCGTGAAATCAAGCGCCAGCCTTTACATATCATTTACATGAAGCGTGCCCTTAATTCAGGCATCTGTTTTGGTAGGGAGCCAATGAAATGACAGCATTCAATGGCTGTGCTCATAGGAGGTTGAGGTCAAGCGATGAATGCACTGCACCCCCTACTGACCAAACTTTATAATGTTAAAATTATAACAGCTGGAATCTTTTTTAAGCTGGGGACTGTGTAGTGCAGGGGTGCTCAATCCTGGTCCTGGAGATCTACCACCCTGCAGAGCTTAACTCCAACCCTAATCTAACACACCTGATCCAGGTGATGAAGGGCATCAGGGGCGCCTGAGCATTACAGCCAGATGTGTCGGATCTGAACTCTGCAGGATGGTGGATCTCCGGGATGGGGCACATCTGGTGTAGTGTGATTATTTTCCTAAAATAACATTGAAATATCTTATTCCAGTGTATGAGATGCCTCTGCACCAGCTGTGTTTTGTATTGTGTATTTTGTGGGTGGAGTCAGTAGCACAAAACAAAAGCACAATCTAAAGGCTCGTTTATGCTCAATGTTTAATATGGATTTGGGTGCAGACGGAGCTTCTGTGTTCTCTGCGTTCATTTTGTCCGGATTTGTGCACGTTCTCTGAAGGCTTAAGGATACAAATGAAAAGGAGCAGTACCACCGGAGGCCTTGGGGGGGCAGTGTAGCCAGTAGTGGTGGTTCAGTTTTGGCGCATTCTGTCCCAAAAACCGTAAAACGTTATAAGGGTCCCTCTGATTAACTTCAAAGCCCTCCATAAATTTCAGTGGGATTCCTTGAAAGCACCTTCACCTTCTTTTAGAACCAGTTTTGATTAATTCTGACTTCATGTTTGGCGTTATTGTATTGTTGAATCATGCATGATCTGCCCATTCATGGACAATAAGATTAAATTCTCCGCTAATATCTGCTGGTATATCGCCCTATTCGGGTTTCCTTTAGTGGCCTGTAATGCTGCAGCACTGTTTACAGCAAGGCAGCCTCATATTATGATGCTACCACCTTCATGCTTCCCTGTTGTTCATGGGATCATATCTGCATCCTATCTAGTGCAAAACTAAGGAGGTCGACTTCAGACACCAAACAAGACATAGTTGGTCGAGGTGATGGGGAACGTTGTTTTCAGCCCACATACTGTAATAATTATACTAAGTGTATTTTATGTAAACTGTTTTTTATCATTTTTTCGGTTTCAGTTTTCAGCCCAGTGTGTCCAGAGTTTGTCTGATATTACCTGCCCTTTCAGTATCATTGCACCCAGTTCTAAAAGACCAATGCTCTTGCGTTCACTTCTTCCCTCCCTCCTGCCTCTCCAGTGAGCATCGTAACGAGTTATGATCTTTCTTCCTTGTTGATCTGGAATGTTATTTGCCATTATACACATACACACCTCAAGACCTACCCTTAGAGCTGGTTCACCCTCTGAATAAAGGAAGAAAGACCACCGTCTCTGAAAAAAAAGTGAAGAATGTGAAGTGTGCGTCACGCTCACACGCACTCTGTAATTAAGTGACAGTAATTAAATGCTTACTAACCACAGCTTTTTATGTGCGAGAGTTGTGTGTGTGCAAGTGATGCGTCAAGCGTGTCTCCGTAATGAGGGGTTTCAGCAGGCCTGTATCGCTGTTTTCTCAGCGTTTGGGGGACGCGCTGATGGAGTGTTCGAAGTGTATATTTTACACATCCTCTGCTGTAGACACACTTGTACTTGGAATAATATTTAACAGCTTCAGTGTTTATATTGAAATGTCACCTCCTGTATGATTTTAATCCGTATGGATTAGTTAAAGAAACAAATAAAGGAATCAATAGTGCTCACTCAGTTCAACTCTTGAATGAATGCGGAATTAAGAAGTATTATAATGTGTACCTGTTTTATCAGCTCCACTTACTGTATAGGTGCACTTTGTAGTTCTACAGTTACAGACTGTAGTCCATCTGTTTCTCTGCATACTTTGTTAGCCCCCTTTTACCCTGTTCTTCAGTGGTCAGGACCCCCATGGACCCTCACAGAGCAGGTACTATTTGGGTGGTGGATCATTCTCAGCACTGCAGTAACACTGATCTGGTGGTGGTGTGTTAGTGTGTGTTGTGCTGGTCTGAGTGGATCAGACACAGCAGAGCTGCTGGAGTTTTTAAAACACTGTGTCCACTCACTGTCCACTCTATTAGACACTCCTACCTTGTCAGTCCACCTTGTAGATGTAAAGTCAGAGACAATAGCTCATCTGCTGCTGCACAGTTTGTGTCGGTCATCCTCTAGTCCTTCATCAGTGGTCAGAGGACGCTGCCCACAGGACGCTGTTGACTGGATATTTTTGGTTGGTGGACTATTCTCAGTCCAGCAGTGACACTGAGGTGTTTAAAAACTCCAGCAGCACTGCTGTCTGATCCACTCAGACCAGCACAACACACACTAACACACCACCACCACGTCAGTGTTACTGCAGTGCTGAGAATGATCCACCACCCAAATAGTACCTGCTCTGTGAGGGTCCATGGGGGTCCTGACCACTGAAGAACAGGGTAAAAGGGGGCTAACAAAGTATGCAGAGAAACAGATGGACTACAGTCTGTAACTGTAGAACTACAAAGGTCACCTATATAGTAAGTGGAGCTGATAAAATGGACAATGAGCGTAGAAACAAGGAGGTGGTCATAATGTTATGCCTGATTGGAGTATGTTGCAAATGCTTATCACAACATTAATAACTGTCACATATAGAAATTATTTGATTAAATGTTGTTGAATCCTACATTTTTGCCTAACCTAGCAGCATCACGGCAGCCCACAGGTTGAAAGCCGCTGCTACAGATGATCCCTATGGGCGTCCATTTCTTTGTGTTGTGTTTACTCTCTTTTCTCTCCTCTGAACTACTGACCTCCTCAGTCAATCAGCCCAAATTTACTGTACATACACACTCTCACAGACGCATGAAATCCAGGTCCAGTTTGGTTTATTTGAAGGAAGCAGGATTTGGGCAGAGCTACTGGAATCTCGTGGATAAGTTGGTGGGATAAAGTTAACAAATTATTCACAAACAAAAAGGAAACTGCTGTACAGAACAAACAAAAACAAAACAAAACAGCAGGCAGTGCAAAAGTCGGTCTCTAGCTCACTGCAGAGACAGTACGAAGGCGTCGAGAGTAGACCCTGAAGTGAGTGTAGCTGCAGCAATTCCATTTCTACAGTTTTAAATGGTGGATCATGTATATTAAACAATGAGTTTCCTTTTATTATCAGCGATAAGCGAAGGCGTTACAATCGTTATCTTCTCTTGCACAGAGGTTAAGTGAAATGAGTTATGCCAAGATGACCGGAGGACAATGGCGATCGTCCTCAAGGCAACAAAAAAAGGTGTTTGGCAAGAGGTGAACCTGTTAATACACAGTACCAATGTCTCACTAATACTTATATGCAGTAAAAGTGCACAACTCCCCATGCGGATTCCTCATCTGAAGGTAACGGTGGATGGACGGGCAATGCTGACCCCCAAACTTGAGGTCAGAAGGCTGTAAGTTTTAATGAGTTAGGTTCACTTGTGGAACTTCTTGCTGGGGTCCTTGGCGTAGTCTAAGAGGAGCTGGCAAGGGGTGAACTGATTTCCGTAAGCGTCCTCATACTTCCTCATCTTCTGGACCAGTTTATCTGCTCCGAACGAGTCCAAAAAACGGAATGGACCTACAGCGGACAGCGCAAAATGTACATTTAGAAAAATGGACATCATTCACAAAAGACAAACAAAAAAAACCCTGATTTTTCTACACTTAATCAGTTCGTAAAACAGTCCAAGCAATTTAACCAAATGAACCATCATGATCAGCAACGCTCTGTTCAGTACTCTCTCAACTGCTGACCACACAGTGTGCACAGAAACAAAAACTCTGCCTTCTATGCTGCAGACTGGGGTTCAAGCACCCTACACTTCACCAATAAGAGTCCTTGAGCAAGACTCCTAACACTTCTTCTAATCCTTCGCCTACCTGTGTAAAATGATCAAATTCTAAGTGGCTCTGAATAAGAGTGTCTGCTTAATGCCCTAAATGATAATGTCATTGTTTAGATTTCCACCCGAGAACCTGATGGGTTCTTAAACTCCACTGCTGGTGTCCTTTGGAACTGTACTCATATAAAAATCACACATCTGCCATTAGATGTCGCTGTATCTCGGGTTTAACTGAGGCTTACCGTAAACCTGCTAGAGACGTGGTTTTACTGAGGTTTAAGGCAAACCTTTTGTAATTTAAGCACTTATATCTTATGCTCAGATATTTTGATATACCATATTTAGGCCTACACATCTTTAATCTGTAATGTTTTGTGGACTTTAATGCTCATTAATTGCTTAATGGCTTAATTAATTACTTAATTAAACACACAGGGGTACCATGCTCACGCTATCCTAATTATTGACTCAATCTCATCTCAGCAATCACATTATTTGTTTAACAATTTGATCTTTGTATTTAAATATAATTTTTTTTGTTTATTTATAATTACAACTTGTGTTGAAATGCCTATCATATATGAACTGACAAATGTGAAAGTTTCTATGTCCTTCTTATGCAGTGTTTTTAGTTAGACCAGGGGTCAGAAACATGTGGCTTCGGAGCCTCATGCGGCTCTTTTACTGCCCTGTTGTGGCTCCACAGCTGAATCAGATTTGTAGGTAATAATAAAATAATCCTCCTTTACAGTAAAATAAAGCTCTGCTGATCGTTCAACACAGTTTAACAATAAATGGTCTTAAACTCTGGAGTTAATGTAGAACTGCTAATTCACCCTTTAACCCTGAAGATCAGCGCAGACTGCTGGTCATCATAGCAACACAGATAAGAATCTTGCCCAGCTATCACTGATGGAACGGCAAAAGAGGAACATCAATTTGGAGACGAATGGACTTATTTGTGTTTATAATCACTCCAGCTGGTTTCCTGATACGTTTAATCTGCAATGAGAAACTGACAAACACTAAAAAGTCGCGAAGCTGAAGTTTCTCATTCGCCAGCTTCTCGTTCAAATTTTCCCGTTCCACCTTAAATGGAGAGACATTTTACAAGAAACTGTTCTACTTTTGAGGAAAAGTTTCCTGCCGGAGATGCGAGAAAAGCTGCTATAGCTGAGCTAAAGCCTAAAGCAGAGCAAAGTGAGTCTGCGTTTTCATTTATGTTACATTTTTAGCCTATAGTAATACATCAGCACATACTGAGACATATTTACAGATGGTAAAATGGACATAAAACGTTGTGGCTCCCAAAGTGGTTTGATTTTTTGTTGAAAGGACAAAATGGCTCTTCTTAACATTTGGACTGTGACCCCTGAGTTAGGCCAATCACGATGTAATCTGGCAGCCAAAGCGCTTTACTCAACGTTTAGCAGTGGATCAGGTAAATTCAAGCTTGGTTTGACAGACAAATCAGGTTCCATTTAATGCACAGGTGAGTGTTAAAGCCCTGAAGCTACTGGTTTAGCTGAATCTGTGTTAAACTCAGACCGAACTGCGGCTAAGCTAATGACCGAGCAAATCCCCAAGAGGATTTGATGTGACGGTGACAAACTGAACATCTTTTCCAAGTGTGTCCGTGTCTCTGTGTGCGGTCACCTCCAAGGCAGGGAGGGAAACCCAGCCCAAACACGGCTCCGACGTCTCCCTGTACAGGATCAGGCAGAATGCCCTCCTGCAGACACAGAGCTGCCTCGTTCACAAAGCGGGACACCAGCCGGTACTGCACGTCCTCATCTCCAGACCTACAGAGGGAGAGAGAAAAGGTGTTAATATATCAATATAAACTTCAATATGGCTATTTTACTGCTTCTAGTAATTTACTCTTGGTCATTTCTAGAAATAAGCACAAACTGTACGGCGTCAGAAACCACATAAGACAAGTACGTGGTGAGTACACAGTTTGCACGATGCAAATTTTTGTGGTAGATTTTTTATCTACATTTTATCTACATTGGCATAGGAGCTGAACTGTTCTAAGCATATGTTCAAACTGGTCACTTTACAGGAGAACGTTCTTTACTGTTCTTTACCGCTCTTTACTTTTGGACTGTTAATGACATTTTGACACTGCATAAAGGACTGCAGCTGTGCTCAAATGATGCAAATAATAAAAAAAAATCAGATGCATTTTTTGCAACAGTGAGTGTA